AAACTAGAAACGTATTAAGTAAAATAGTAAGTCAGAGAAAGATAAATATCATATGATTTCACTCATATGTGGAATTTAAGAAACAAAACAGATGAAAATAGGGGAAGGGAAGGAAAATTAGATAAAAACAGAGAGGGAGACAAACCATAAGAGACTCTTAAATACATAGAACCTGAGGGTTGCTGGAGGGGAGGTGGATGGGGGGGGATGGGCTAAATGGGTGATGGGCATTAAGGAAGGCACTTGTTGGGGTGCACCTGGCTCAGTTGGTTGGGCATCCAACTTTGGCTCAGGTCGTGATCTCACAGCCGGTGAGTTCGAGCCCTGCATCGGGCTCTGTGCTGACAGCTCAGAGCCTAGAGCCTGCTTTGGATTTTGTGTCTCCCCCTCTTTGCCCCTCCCCTGCTCACACTGTCTCTCTCCTCTCTGTTTCTCAAAAATAAACATTAAAAAAGAGAAAATGATGGCATTTGTTGGGGTACTAGGTATTATAGTTTAAGTGATGAATCATTAAAGTCTCCTGAAACCATTATTACACTATATGTTAACTAACTGGGATTTATTTATTTTATCTTATTTTATTTTATTTTATATTTATTTTATTTTAGTTTAGTTTAGTTTAATGTTTAGTTATTTTTGAGAGAGAGACACACAGAGCACAAGCAGAGAGGGGCAGAGAGAGAAGGAGACAGAATCTGAAGCAGGCTCCAAGCTCTGAGCTGTCAACACAGAGACCGATGCAGGGATCGAACTCACGAACTGTCAGATCATGACCCGAGCTGCAGTTGGATGTGGCTAAGCCAACCAGGCACCCATTAACTTGGATTTAAATTAAAATTTTAAAAAATTATACAAAACTTGTGGAAAAAGTGTTTAATCACCAAGAAATGCACATTAAAACAATAATAAAATACCTTATATTACTTAAAAAAAAAAAAAAGAAAAAAGAAACCCATCTTTAAGGCCTACTGAGAAGCTGATAATCAGGTTCTCAAACATCAGGTTCCCCAAAGTCCTGTTTCCTGAGAGGCTTGTGGGAACTCCTGTGGGGGTGATGAGGAGCTTAGACGAAGAGCCAGTGCTGGTGGGGGTCACTGGGATTGCAGGAGGCCATGGCTGGCTTTTTGTTCTCAGATGTCAAGCAGGTACCAGATCCTGAGTTCCTGATTAACTGGTCCTAAAAGATGACACAGCAAAGGGTCAGCCTGGGCCTCAGATCTCTAACGGTGCTACTAGGCGGGGAATTAGACAGGGGGCAATAAATAAAAAGCAAGGGAAATGCAGCAAGGCCCAAAGAGGACATTTCCAAATTTCTTTCTTTGGATGCCAGATACCCTGATGGGATGCATTCCTGAGTTTCCACCTGTAGCCAGTGTCAATTCCCCACTGCTGGCTTCAGCCTGAGCGGCTGGACTAGAGGAAGGCAGGACCGTGGGGCTAATGCTTTCGAGAACCCCTCCTCTGGACGGCCAGGCTCAGAGCCCTGAGCCGCTGCTGCATACCCCCACTTTCTGCCTTTGATCATATTTTGACTCTTCCCTTCCGTGCAGGCCCAAAATTAGGTTCCTTTTCCCCTAAGCCAAGGCCTAAAGATTGGGGTAGGGTGGGGTATGGAGGCTCATGGCGGTGCTAGTCTGGGACCAGTATCATAGAGATGACATTCGGTACCCTGAGGCAGTGTGGTGTACTAGAAAGAACCTGTGCTTTTAAGCCAGAAGGATCTTGGTCTGAATCCCAGACCAGCCATTTACTAGTGATGGGGCTCGGGCCAGTCACACACTTGCTGAGCTCCAGCTGGCTCATCTAGACACGTGGGGGCACCACCCACTTGGGAAGAGGGTCTGCAAGATTACCCACACCCAGTGTATGTACCGGCACACGGAGGCCAGGCAGGAACCATAAGTGACTTCACCTTCATCTAGTTGGGTTCGGCCTAAAAATACTGGAGCCACGACAGAGATGGCCATGAACCACAACTCCTAACCCCAGCTCTCTATCAGCCGGAACTAAGACTTCACCGGACGCTACCTGGGCCCTGAGGACCCTGCCTGTGACCGAGCCCACTTTCTCCACACTCCCTCCGTCGTTTTTTTTTTTTTTTTTTAATTTTTTTTTAACGTTTTATTTATTTTTGAGACACAGAGAGACAGAGCATGAACGGGGGAGGGGTAGACAGAGAGGGAGACACAGAATCGGAAGCAGGCTCCAGGCTCTGAGCCATCAGCCCAGAGCCCGACGCAGGGCTCGAACTCACGGACCGCAAGATCGTGACCTGAGCCGAAGTTGGACGCTCAACCGACTGAGCCACCCAGGTGCCCCTCCCTCCGTCGTTTTGATCCACCACACGGCATCTCAGGCACAAGGTGCAGAAAACGAGGAGGGGGTGGGGGGCAGTCGCGGCCTCAGGTTCTAGATTCCGAGCCTCCCGGGGCTGCTGACTCACCTGGGTCAATTCCCACTCCTCATCCTTGGGGACTTGGCTGTTTTGGCCAGTGAAGTGACAGCTCCGCAGGCCCAGAGTGCCGGCACTGGCGTGTAGACACAGCTGCTTCGCGATGTTATGGCGTAGGTCCCTCTGGGTTGTGTACTCAAAGTACTAGGAGTCAAGACAAGGGGAGGCGGAGAGTTTGCCCACTACCTTCCGGGGCCAACCGCCCTAAGATTCCAGCCAGAGATGACCTCTGAGGGAAGAGAGTGACTGAGTGCCAAGACTGCCGCGATCCCCGCGCCACCTTCGGGTCTCTTACCATATCGAGGCTTTCCCGGAATAATCATTGCTTAAGATTTTTTCTTTAAAATCATTAAAAACTGAACTCCATTTTACCTGCGATCTGTGAGATCGTGGGCTTGATATGCTAGTTCCTTGGTTTAAAATTAAAAAAAAAAAATGCTCGCCAACGTACCACCTCAAATCATCGCGCAGGCCAGCGGTACAGGAAATGGCTTATAATGATTTTGTTTGGATTGCGTATGTTGGCAGCCTGTTCAGTGTCCCTTGCCTTGCTTTGGCTCCGTGTCAGGTGCCTCTTACTTACCAAACACTGAGGGACTGGGTGGGGGGGTCGCGGGGGGAGGACTGAGGACTAGTTATTGCTCAGGGAAGCTCTGGACACTGGAAAGCACGGGGTACATTCCCAGGATGCCAGGTTACTGTGACATGTCAGTAGATGGTTGTTTTGGGGTCACTGCTGGGTGACAGAATCAGAGCTTCTGGGCAGGGGAGGCTTTGAAGCAGAGCGCGGGGGAGAGCAAGTGCTCAGAAAGTTTCCACGGTTCCTCTCAAACTTCGCTCGGTAGCTGGCACCCTCCAGAAGGCCTTCCTGATTGACAATCGTCCCCTCCCACTCCCTCTCTAGCACCTACCACTGATGCCCAGTGCTCCCCAGATGTCCCTGCTTCATCCTTCAGACCTTGTCTGCCTGCATCATATATTCCCCCTCGGACTGGGAGCTTTCTGAGGGCAGGGGTGGTATCTCCTCCTTTCCCTGGATCTCCCCGACCCCAGTCCTCAGGAAAGGATGATTCTGAGCGGAGAAAGGGGTCTGTGAAAAGAGGAGTTGTTCAAGAAGCAGGCTTCTCTGGGGCCTGCCTGGTAAGGTGCGGCTGCGTACCTGGTTGCCACCAAGGCCGTGGCAGGTGTACATGATGAGGGGTTTCCCCCCATGGTTGTTCTCACCCACATCCAGGCACTGATCGACGCCAAGGTTCCTGATCTGCAGAATGGTGAGGACAGAGGGGAACGAGGATAACACAGTTAGGAATTTTCTGGTGTGCGGTGTGGGGCTCAGCTGGAATAAATTTGCAGGGCTGGATTTCCCCTCTGTGATTTTCCTCCTCTGCTCATCAACCCAGATGCCAGGAGTTCATAGCGAAGTGAGGGGCTTCGCCTAAAGGCTGGGCACAGGCAGGCTGGGCAAGCTCCCGGGCTGCCAGTCTCTTGGGAGAAGCCCCTCAGCATGTGTGAATTTCCTTATGAGCAATGGTTCTCAAAGTGGGATCCCCAGACTGTCAGTGCCACCTGAGGACTTGTTAGAAACGGAAACTCTCAGGCCCCATTCCAGTCCTACTGAATCAGCATTCTGTGTGTGTGTGTTTGTGGGGGGGGGGGGGGGGGGACAGAGGGAGAGAGAGAGAGACCGAGGGAGAGAATCCCAAACAGGCTTCATGCTCAGCGTGGAGCCCGATGTGGGGCTCGATCCCACAACCCTGGGATCACAGCATGAGCCAAAATCAAAAGTTGGATGCTCAACCGACTAAGCCACACAGATGTGCCAGCAATCTGTGTTGTAACATGCCTTCCAGGTGATTCTGATGCAGGTGAATGTTTGAGAACCACTGCTTATGGGCTGTTTCCCCCTTGCAAGGTTTGAGCTATCTCTAGAAGCCCCAAAGTGGCCTTCCAGTACTCCTTTGGATAAAGGAGTGTAGAGAGTAAAAATCAATTCTTGTTTGCCATCCGTCTGTGGGGTAAGTGGTCTTGGACCACTCCCCGGGCTTCTGTGATGATGGGTGGGCAAGCTGGTTTTTAAGACTTACAGCTCCGTAGAAGGTGGGCTTCAGGTCGGGAACAAACATCTCTGGGTAGATGTTGTGCAGGAACCAGGAAAAGTTGCGACAATGTAGTCGTTCCTTCAGCTGCAGTCGTTCCGAAATGTCACCGAAGGATTTCTGTCAACCGAGCCAGCCCCCAAAGGGTGAGTACCACCAGCCTTGACCTTCTTGTATGGTTGAAGTAGGCAAGAGTTTCTGGGGCCACTTTCTCCCAGAATGGGTCTCCTGCTCATCCCTGCTCAGATCCTGTTGGGGCTACTGGCTTAGCCCCACATCTAAACCCAAGCTCCCTGTCTTGGCTTTGGGATGCCCACCCATAGCTCCCCTCCTCCTGCATCTCCTGACTTTCCTATCAGTTTTCTCCCAGACCTCAATTCCGAGCCTCTCAGAGCAAAGCCCTTCTTAAAATGCCAAGACTCTCTAGGCGGGACCAACAAAAGCTCCTCCCATTCACTAGCCTTCAAAATCTGGCCTCTCTGGGCTCGAGCTCACAGGGTCTGAGGGGTAAAGGGAGGCACCAGATGGTAGCGATGGGTGGGCCTCCACCACTCAGCCCTTGACTATGGTCTGGGATTCTGCACTTCTCTTCACCCAAACACGTCCCGAGCACCATTTCCTCTCACCTCTTGGGCCATCTTTGCTGCCTGCAGATTTCTCCGATAGAAGATCTCCTTGTAGCTATCCATCCAGACCTCAGCCAGGCGCACTTGGTTGCGAGCAATGACACTGATGCCCTTGGGGAAGGTGTGAGGGCTCTTGGTGCGGAACACGTGGCCTACCACAGAGCAGGGGATGATCTCCATCTGGCCCCCACACTGCCACACCTGCCACAAGAGGACACCAGATAGGGCCTTCAGGGGAGTAGTGGGTCACTGTCCCCTCCCCCAAGTAGCTCTGTTCTGTTCCCAGGGTACTAGGGTCCCAGGTCTAAGAACTCAGGGCAATGTTGCTCTCTCTTCCAAGGGGGGCAAAAAAAAGGACATTGACCAGGATTCTTCCTAGGCCGTGACTATGCAATTTCTAGCTCTAGTGTTAGTTCAACTCCGATTTAAGCAAATGGAGATTTGTGGGGTCCTGAGGGTTGTCAGGGCCCACTGTAGAGAAAGGACAATCGCCTGACTTTGTGTCTGAATACCTCCTCTAAGCTCTAGGCACTTGGCGTGTTGACCTGGGAATGCTGAGTTTATCCGCTCACCCAGGCGTTACTGAAAACTCAAGCTCCCTCAAACCAAGAGGCTTGTGACCCCATCAGAGCCCTGGCGCATCAATCATAGCAAGGGTAGTCAACTCCCGGGTGCGCTGTGGTAGTCGCCCGGACTTCTGGCACATTAGCTGCCTAGGGAAGAGACTGAACAGAGATCTGAGGCTCATGGATGAACCTGCAATCAGAATCTTCTGATTCTGGTGACTGATCTGGCGACCCTTCTCTATGCCAGTGGGCTGGTTTAAGACATCCCTCCCACCTGTGTCCTCTCTTTCTTAGGTTTTAGATTAGTAAGCATGTTGTTATTCGTTTTAGTATAGCAGCGGCAGAGCTCCATGACCACAGTCACAGTCACACAGGCATCAATGATGTGATTAATCTGTGCAGGCACGGCGAGAGGTGACTTCATGAACGAGCTCATCTACTTGCTAATTACCTCTCCCCCGGTGCGGGGATCTGTGTGGATTTCACGGAGAGGAAATTCTTTCTTCCTAACCTAGTCCTGAGTTGCCTTATTCCTGGAATCCCTCAGAGTTCTGGGGTCCATGAGAGTTTGGGCCGTCACCTTCAGTAACACAGAGCTTTCTGAGCAGAGGGTAGGAAACTTCCAAGGCTACCAGGGCTTGTGCCCTCGAACTTGGAAAGGGAAACCCGACTTTTCCTGAGAAAGGACAGCGACTGCTGACTGCCCTGTTCCACCTTCATGCTCCCACTTTTCCCACAGACCTCACAAAAGACGTCTCCAGTCCCCAGGTGTCCAGGTCCTTTACCACTAGTATCCCTTCTCTCTGAGGAGGTCTGCCCAGTAATTTGGTCCACGTTGTCCAATCTGATTGCCACGGACGGGGGTGGGGGAACAGAGGAAAGGGGACGGACACCAGGACAGGAAACAGCCACCCTTCTAAGTCCACCTCCAGATGTGATATCCCCGAGGCTGCCGCTGCCTGAGAGACAGGGCCTCAGGCTGTCCCCCCGGGACACCGTGGCTCCCCCATGAAGCCCTCTTCACTCTCACCCGGAAGGACATTTCCACGTTCTCCCCTCCCCAGATCTCCATCTGATTATCATAGGTACCGATGTGCTCAAAGTAGGACTTGGAGATGGAGAAGAGGCCGCCAGCAAACGTCGGGGATCTGGGGAGACAGAGGGAGAAGCATCTTTTGGCGGGGACGACGCGTAGAAGCCTGGTGCGGAAAGCTGAGGACCCGGTGTTAGCTAAAGCCCGGCCACTCCCTGCCTCCTTTCTTCCTTCCTGGGATATGCAGCCCCTCTTCCATGGACTCATTCCTTCAGCAAACATTTACAGAGCTCTGTTGTGTTCTCTCCACCTTCTGGGACCAGGTCAAGGAGAGATGTGATTATCATCACTCCTTCTGAAAGGCACTGATGCGTTCGTTCAAGGTAGGATCTATTAAGCACCGGCCACCAGGGCCCATGTGCACGTTAGTCACGCAGCCTAGAAAGCTCTCACTGTCTGAGAGCTCAGTCTAGAAGCAGACGGCAGAAGCACCATTGTCTGCTTTGGGGCAGCAAAGTTCCTAGAGCACAGTAGTAACTCCGTTATCAGAAGCTGGGTGGAATGGTCTTTGGAAATAGGATTCAAACCACGAACGAACGAATATGACCTGGATGGACCCCCTTCTGTTTCAGAATCCCCAGTCCTTTCTAGGGATTAGAAAGGCGTGTTAGTAGGGCCTAGTCCTTCCGCACCAGAAATTTTAGCTTTCAGGAAAGCTGCCAGCTGCTTTGAACAAAGGAAACCGGTAACAGGTGCTCCTGGAAACAGAGTAGGAAGTGAGGTGAAATTAAACTCAATTTGGACTAACGGGAGCATTTGGAGGTTCCAAGGAGCTTCTGGCTTTCAGACAAAGGCAGAGAGGTACAGATCCACTGTAGGGGAAATTGGTAGAAACGTCCCATTTCTAGAATTCAGATACCACGTTGCTCATAAGACAGGCGGGGCCAAGAGTTGAAGGCAGGGTCGGAGCCTGAGGAAGACAAGGGCAGGAGTCTATATATAATCACTAGCTGTTGGCATCTGCACCCTGGCCAGCCTGGCTTGGATTGGGCTTTGCTGCCCTCAGTGGGCGGCTCCATGTGCTACAATCAAGCATAAAGATCCTAAAACCTTCTCTATCCACCTAGAACCTATCAAGGTGCTTTCTATCCAGCAGGGGCTCAGTCAGTGCTCACTGGACTGACTGGTCAAGGAGCCTGACCTTAGTGTTACCCTATGGATGCTCTCGCCACCCTGAAGTAGGAGTTGGCTCCCAGAGCCACTTTCTGGAAGGACTTTCAATCAGGAGTCATGCTCAGGTGGGCCTTCTGTCACTGCTTCTGACCTCTCCCAGGCATCCTAAGCCATCCCAAGTAAGGCCTGGAAAGCCTCAGAAAGCCCTGGGACTCAGGTGAGCACTTCGGAGCTAACCTACTTCTTCTTGAGGGTCTCCCTCAATTTATTTATTAAAATAAAATAAACTTGTGGTCTCTAGCAACACCAACCGGCAATCCGGAGAGGGAAGGGCAGGAGGTGAATGAGGGGCAGACCTAGCTGGGCATTAAACAGAGGGTAAACTTTTAAGCATCCACCCTATAGCTCAGGGGTGGGCAAACTATGGTCTATGGGCCAGAGCTGGCCTGGCTTCACAAGGCTCTGGGCAAAGAAAGGTTTCTACCTTTTTAAATGGCTGTTAAACGAAAGCAAACGAACAACAACAAAAAAAACCCCAAACCAACAGAGAGTAACGTGCAACAGACTGCATGCAGCTGGAAGGTCCTAAACTATATGCTATCTGGCCCTTTACCAAGAAAGTTCAGGCCAACTGTACCCAACCGCAGAACACTTGTCCATTTTCTTTTAATACGTTTTCAGTCTTTTCAAAGGTGGTGACCTACAAGGGCTATTCAACAGTGACCTCTACCCACCATCTCTCAGCACCTCTGCAGGCGCCAGTCACAGCCTTCCACGTGTGGGGAGGAATAAACAGAGGACCTACAGAAAGCCTTCGGTCAGCGCCTGGCACACACTAAGTGGTGAGGAAGAGCAAGCAGCTACGGCGTGAGGCAGTGCGCGGTATTGCAGTTAGCAGCATGGGCTTCAGGTCAGGCTGGCCACGATGGCTTTCCTATTCCACCAACTGCTAGCTGCCTAATCTGAGGCTGATTGCTCATCACTAGGAGGCTGTACAGCAGCCCGTACCCACCTCAGAGGGGGTGAGGATTAAGGAAAATATGTCAAGTGCTTCCTAGAGTGCCTGATAAATGTGGACGTAAGACGGTCCAGGTCCCCCGGGGCCGGCGTGGGGCTAAGCAGGCCATGGTCCTTACTTGATGGGGTAGGTCTCATCTTTGCGCCTCTGCTTCTCATGTGCGGGCAGAGCCTCCCAGCCAAAGGTCAGACTCCAGTCAAAGTTGCCACGGCTGTGGACCCTGCCCCTCGGGACGGGCTTGGAGAACTCGAAAGTGTTCAGGTCGATGGTGACGATGTCTGGGCTCACCACCACCGTCTCGTCCTCAGCAATGCGAGCCAGGAGGGGCTCCAGCCAGCCATGGAAGCACTCGCCTGCAAGCCGGGACAGGGAGACAGCAGTCAGGGTCGCACCCACAGCCAAGCCCAGGCCCCACGCCCGCAGGGAGACTCGGGAGGACGAGAGAACCTTCCACACACTCCCTAGTGTTAGAGAAACGTAGGCAAGCTCCACAGCTATAGGAAGCAGAGAGGTCTCCCGAGACCCTCCTCTCCGGCCCCCGCCCCCAACCAAAAGGCGGAGGTAACTCTGAAGAGAAGGATGGAGGGCTGGCGGGGAGTAACATGGTCAACTCAAACGATCCAAAGCACAGGGAAGGCCCCAGATGGGTGACTTCAGGGTTTCTAACTATCCACTGTGTGGATTTCAGAAGGGGGTGTCTCCTGTCCCAGAGGGACCACACCCCAAGCTCCAGCTCCACTTGTGGAATAATAATCCCTTTCACTTGTCTGGCCCTTTGAGATCTTCAGGGAACTGCACAGATTACTTTATTTGGAGTAGTAAATCTGTTGGTGAGTATGGTCGACACCCTCATTCCCACTTTACAGATCAGGAAACTGAGGCGGTTAGTGACAGAGTCAGAAGGCAAACCCAGGTGTCCTGACTCCCAGTCTAGAGCTTTCCCTAATACATATCACCACTTCTAGGGAACAATTTCTTTCCAGACAATGGCGGGGAAGTGTTTGGGTTTGGGGCAATGGGGGGGGGACCTTTTTGTCCCCATGTGGCCCTGCGGGAAAGCTCCACACAAACCGCTTCCCAGGGGTGACGGGAGGCCTGAGGGGCTGAGCTCAGAATGAGGTACAGAGCAAGCAAGGGAGGGAGAGAGGAGTCTGGGGCTCCAGAGCACAATGCCAGCAATTGTGGGGTCACCGTTGTTTTAAGGCCATGGGTGCCTGCTGGTTAAACATCCTTGGGATTGGGACGAGAAGAGGGCACGAGAAGCTGAAGTGAATCCCAAGCCACCTCCAGTCCCAGAAGGGCAGGGGCCTCGGGGATGCCCCGGCCCTGGCTCCTCGGTCCACCAGGGGGCGGGGGAGGGGAGCAGACATTCCCCCACCCCCACCCCCTACCAGGTCCCCCCATACTCACAGTGGGCGTCCAGGAAGGTGAGCACCTCCGCCTGCGCCACGCTGGCGCCCAGCAGTCGGGCAGTGATCAAGCCCTTCCGCTCCTCCTGCCGCACCACCCTCACGATCTGCAGCTTCTTTACGTACTGCTCCAGTTGTTCCTTTAAGTACTCTGGAAGGGACAGGGGCATCGGTGCCAGCTCACTGCCGTGTGGCAAACCTAACCCCCCTGTGAGCGCCAAGCCGGGCGCTTTCGGGCCCCCAGCAGGCCTGAACCCCCACCGACCTAAGCAATTCCACGGGCGCCGAGGATGGGAGGGGGTGGAAGGAGGAAGTCCCGTGTGTGGCCAAGCAAACCCTGCCACCCCGAGTCCACCGTGCGAGGAGACTGGCTATGCTGTGCCAATCCTGTGCCTGTTGACCTAGGAACCTTCCCTAACCTCCGAGCCGGGGCCTCCGAGCTGTGTTTCTTTGGTCTCAAATCAAGTTTAAACTTCCGACAGAGGCTCCCAGCTGCCCCTTGGTCTCTTCATCCTCTGGGTCACCATGTCTGGGAACCGTGATTCCGGCCTCCTTTCCACACCTGGAGGTTGTGGCAGTCATGTCTCGGTATCTAGGACTCCCCGTCTCCCAGGCTCCTCTGAGCGAGCCGACAGGTAGAGCACACACCAATGTCGATTTCTGGCTTGCTGGATCAGCAGCCAGAATCGTACTCGAATCCTCTCTATTTCCTCCTCTGCATGGAGGAATCATTAAGAAGATGAAAAGACACTGAGCCGCTTTTCAATCAAATTTAAAACCAGGTACCAAGGGCCGGCCCTGTGCTGGGCACAACAGTGAGCCTGTTGCCCAGGGAAGTGGCGATTACAGGGCAGGTAATCAGTGACCTGCCAGAGCAGTGCAGGGCTGGGGGTAGCCTGCAGCCGATGCAATCATCCTGGATTTGGGGAGAGGTGGGGAAGGCTCTCTGAAGGGAGGGAGAGACGGCTCTGCTGAGATCTCCAGTTCCTTCTGAGTGCGGGCTTACTTCACAACCCTGTTATCCATTCTGAAATCCTCAGGGCTTTAAAAATAGCTCTATTCTGAAACAATCCATCCTGAAACCTATTCCAGATCCTCCTTATGTCTTATTAACTGCTATACTGCAGTGGCCTACAGTTTCAGAAGAGGAGGTTGAAGGCAGATGTGACAGATGAGTGTGTCCTTTCTGTTTTGGGCTGTGGGATCAGCCCAGGGCTTAGGCCTTGCTTTACATGCAGTGTTATTATACAAATTGTGGGGCCCCAAATCAATTTTGGGGGTGTGTGATTGATATCTCTCTCTCTCCCTCTCTCACACACACACACACACGCTATGCCCAAATACCTGAGCGCCTACTATGTGCCAGTCATTGAACTAGGTGCTTGCACGTTGACTTTCTTACTTAATCTTTTCTACGAAGATTAAAATGTTCTGAAATATGGAGTACTGTCCCTGATGTTTATAAGTCAAAATTAGCCTCATTGGGCAGCTTGAGTCTAGCACTCACTCAGCAAACACATGCTAACACACTGCCCAGGTGTCAGACATTATCTAGGGCAGAGTCGGGCCTGGTCCGGCTCTTGCCCTCAAGGGGCTCCTAGACTCATCATCTAACCATAGCCCCAAGGGTCGGCTCTAACAGGAAGGAGGAGGGAGGAACCCCAACCAGGAGCCTCACCTTCTCAGCATGGCTGATGTTTCCCCTTAGGGCTTAACTGCGCTCAGAGGAAGTTCATGGTGGTGGAGATAACCCAAGGACAAAACATCACAGGAAGTGGGTTTTGTGGTAAGAGACTGCAAAGTGCTGAGCTGTGAACCCCACAGGGTGCTGAGCTCTACAAAGCCCTTCTCCCATGCCTTCCTTCCAGTCTCAGGTGGTTAGGCTGGACCTGGGGAGTCTGAGCATCACCCTCAGGCCCTTCTAGGGGTGGGAGACAACTCCCCTCCTTCCTGTCATACCCTTGGACCCACTGGACACATGCCCCAGAGATGAGTATAGCAGAGCTGAAGGTGGAGACACAGCTGAGCCCATCCATACTCTCTTATGTCCCCTAGATGTTATCCTCCTAATTCAGGTTCAAAACCCCACCACCCCAACCCAGCTCCGTTCCTCATGGCTGGAGTCTATGAGACCCCTGTGACCTCTAACACACCTGCCTGACTCAGTCCCATGGTTTGAAATACCATCTCTCTGCAGATGGCTCCTAGGTCTTTTTCTCTCGGCCCTGCCATCTTCACTTGGGTGTCTAATGGAACTACAAACCTAACACGCCCAAAATGAAACTCCAGATTTCCTCCCCTCTCTAGTCTCCCCATGTCAGCCTGTGGTAGCGGCATCTCTCCAGCTGCTTTAACCTAGGAGTCATGCTGGACTCTTCCCTCTTCTCACCCACCACAATCAGTGCATCAGCCAGTGCTGCCAGTTTGTTCTCTCCACCCCCACGGTCACCCCAGCAATGATGTCTTAGCTGGCCTCCTGGCCTCTACTCTACACCACTCTTTCTAGCCATTCTTGACATAACAGCCGCAGTGAGCAGCAGAGTTATCTCTTCAAACTATAAATCAGATCATCGCACTGCTGTGGCTTAAAATTGCACTTAAAGGGGTGCCTGGCTGGCTCAGTTGGTGAAGTGTGCAACTCCTGATCTTGGGGTTGTGAGTTTGAGCCCCATGTTGGGTGTAGTGCTTACTTAAGAAAAAAAAATGCACTTAAAAACAAATCTGAACAGTATGGGGGCTCCTCAAAAAATTAAACACAGAATTACTCAAGATCTAGCAAAGGGTGGATGAATCAATAAACAAATGTGGTATATACAAGCAAGGAAACATTCAGCCTTTAAAAGGAAGGAAATTCTGCCATAATCAATTGAGATTTACCCCAGGGATGCAAGGATGGTTCAATATATGCAAGTCAATCAACAAGATACACCACATTAACAAAAAGATGGTTAAAAATCATACAGTCATCTCAATAGATTCAGAAAAAACATTTGACAACATTTAATATCTACTCATGATAAAAATTCTCAACATTAAGTCAGTAGAGAGGGAATATATCCCAACACGATAAAGGCAATACATGACAAACAGACAGCTGACATTACACTCAATGATGAAAAGCTAAAAGCTTTTCCCCTAAGATCAGGAATAAGACAAGGGCACTCTCACCACTTTTATTGCACACAGTACTGGGAATCCTAGCTGCAGCAATTAGACAAGAAAAAGAAATACAAGACATCTAGATTGGTAAGGAAGAAATAAATCTGTCACTGTTTGCAGACACAATATTGCATATAGAAAACCCTAAAGACTTCACCAAAAATCTATCAGAACTGATAAGGGAATTCAGTAAAATTGTGGCACACAAAATCAATAAACAGAAATCTGTTCTGTTTCTATACACTAATAATGAAATAGCAGAAAGGAAAATCGCGAAGACAACCCCATTTAACACTGCATCAAAAAGAACAAAATACCTAGGAATAAATTTAACAAAAGAGGTGAAAGACGTGTATTCTGGAAACCATCAGACATTGTTGAAAGAAATCAAAGATGACACAAATAAATGGAAAGATCTACCATGCTTATGGGTTGGAAGAACTAATATTGTTAAAATGTCCCTACTACCCAATGCAATCTTCATTAAAATACCAAAAGCGTTTTTTTCACAGAACTAGGACCTATAATTCTAAAATCTGCATGGAACCACAAAAGATCTCAAATAGCCAAACCAATATTGAAAAGAATAACAAAGATAGAGGTACCACAATTCTAGATTTCAAACTATACTGCAAGCGATCATGTTCAAAGCACAAAAACAGGGGCGCCTGGGTGGCGCAGTCGGTTAAGCGTCCGACTTCAGCCAGGTCACGATCTCGCGGTCCGG